ATCTAGAAGACTTGACGCTCAGGATAACATTCATTTCATGAAAGACTGAATCAGTTGAAAAATTAGTCCGGTGACTTTCCAACTTCTGAAGATGACCGGCATACCAAACTCTGTCGAACAGTTTCGAGATATCGAAAGCAATAGACTGCATTTACTAATTTCAACTAGTTCAAAAGTATTTATTTATATATTTGAACTGGTGTAAATTTAAGTTTTGAAGGCTGAGCCCTGACCACCGCTTTCACGGTGGTAGAGAAAAATGACGTAATGCTCAGCCATCGGTTGAACGGTGGTAGAGAAAACTGACTTAATGCCCAGCCACCGGCTGAAAAGTGGTAGAGAAAAATGACTTAATGCCTAGCCACCGGTTGAAAAGTGGTAGAGATAAATGGTTTAATGCCCAGCCACCGGTTGAAAAGTGGTAAAGAAAAATGACTTAATGCCCAGTCACCGGTTGAACGGTGGTATAGAAAAGTGACGTAATACCCAACTACCGGTTGAACGGTGGTAGAGAAAAATGACGTAATGCCCAGTCACCGGTTGAACAGCGGTAGAGAAAACTGACGTAATGCCTAACTACCGGTTGAACAGTGGTAGAGAAAAATGACTTAATGCCTAGCCACCGGTTGAAAAGTGGTAGAGATAAATGATTTAATGCCCAGCCACCGTTTGAACGGTGGTAGAGAAAAATGACTTAATGCCCAGGCACCGTTTAATCGGTGGTATAGATAAATGACTTAATGCCCAGCCACCGGTTGGACAGTTGGTAAGCACTTATATTTTTTATATCTACCGTGAAACATTACAAAGAAATATGTGGAAATGTTAACACAGAAGCTCACTCCGCGCTGAAAGACTTAAAATTAACAGGATATTAACAAGACACAGTTAACAGCAGTTCATGTACGCCATTTTTTATGTCTTCTACCTTATCGAATAGATCAGACATACCATTAAGACAGGGTCACGAATCATGCGACCCGTGACCCATCAGGATCGGAGGAGTGCCACCTGTACTACATCCATAGCAAGAGTGGTATGTCTTGGGCAAGATCGCCTGACGGAGCGCAACCCTCTCAAGACCGGTTTTGAATTCAGAGCGTATCATTCTGCTGCGAACCAACGCTAAAGAACCCAGTCTATCCTACTATTTACCCATAGCCTTAGGGTGAAAAGATGGATTCCTACGTTTCCCAAGGTTATTAGTAAATGAATGTGATAGTTCCGACTGGAATTCGATCTTGGCTATCCGATACCTCGATCCATTGCTCCACCGTGTCTCCTTAAGGAGGGTAATTATTTTATATAATTATACTAATATAATAATTTAGATACAATGTGTAAAGTCTTACATGTGACAATGTTCTGATAATAGGAAAGGGGTAGCAAAATGTTCCCTTATATTTGTAGTCAAGTTAAATTATTGGTTATATAAATTTCTCCTGCATATTTTTTCTTTTTAATCATTACACCCCAAGCAATGGGAGAATGTCACTAGAAGCCAGGACCTTACAGAGGGTGAAGATGAGAGAAAAGACGAGATATAGAAGGTAGCGAGGAAAGGATAAACGCTGAACGAGGTTCAAGAAGCTAGAAGATGGCGATTGAAGTTGCATTTAAATTTTTGAAGATTGTAGTTATCAGGAAAGCAAGGAAACGGAAGGGAGTTCCATAGGGGGGAGTGAAAAAAAAAAGAAACTGTTTTTTTTTTTAAATAAATATACGCTCTTAAATAGACGTCGGAGGGAGTCGACAGTGATGTCAATTGACTTGGTTCATCGGGCGTTTCGGCTCATTCAACATCAGACACCTCATCTCCAAGCCGACCCAATCAGGGGAGATCTATCCTTGATTCCACCTCCTCAATCAAACGCTAACAAAGCCTCTGACCTTCTTAATAATTTGTACGAAAGTATACCACATTTTCCGCACACCTGATTGGATGTTTTTAACAACCAATCCACAGCGCGAACTGACTTTTTAAATGGTCCCCGGATTGAATGGTCCAATCTGGCTTCTGTTCTTTCGTTTTTTTTTTTGTTGGAGTAGAAGTGGCGTTTATATTTATTCAATAGTAAGAGGGTGGGACCTTGATGCCAATCTAGTAGCACGTTTAAACTCACGTAGCCCGTGCACCAGGGAGAAAAGCAATATTTATTCTGATAAATACACAGAAATGTGGCACAAGGCCGAAGGGGGGATTGGGGAAAAGGACGGTCTTCTCCTGTCTTAACAATAACTTAGCTAGCCGCAAACACTGACCCAATCATACAAACAATATTCCTTACACCAAAACAACACATACTTACGTACCTTTCTTACTACATCCACCATAATACCTCACTGTCTCCATGAAAATAATAACTAGTGCCCATATTTACAATTCATTGTCTGTGGGGGTTGGAATGAAACTACAATTCTAAAAACTATCCCCAATGAATATTTACAATATGAAAGGAAAAAACTATTTACAAGTAACTAAAGAAAATAATATTAGTAATAAAACCCCCACAACCACTAAATGTGGCAGAAATATCAGTTAACTGACTGAAATCAATGCGGGACTATAACAATATAAATCATTCATTCACCCCAAGCACTCAAAATGACACGCACTGATTTAAACACAACAACTAATACGAAAAACACGCACGTGAATCGAAAAGCGTCCCGCATCCACCAGCGAACTGACATCACTGACCACCTAACGAGGGACGGGATGAGGAATTAAACTAGAAAAATAGGGACAGAAATAAAAGCGGACCAATGGGTATACATACCCTAGCTAGGTTAACTGTAAGAAAAAGAAACTAAATCATCAAAAACTCATCAGAACAATTGCCATGAAAATATTTATAGAAAACACAGAAGGATGTTATGTCACATCACTTTGGCGTGAAAGTAACTGAAGTCGAGATTTCAAGACAAGATCGATTACATTTCCGATCCTTCTTTGGATTTTGTCAAGAACTTTGAAATGGGTAGCAGGTGCTTCAGACAAGATATTGCAACAGTATTCAATGGTAGGTTTGTAAATTTGCAAAAATTTCTGGTGGCAGTAGACGTTGGTCCTATGTTTAAACTAGTCAAAGAAAATTCTCCTAGACATAAAGTGAGGTATCGGTTTTCTATAGTATTTGATAGTGATGGTGATGATGATGGTATTGATGATGGTGGTGGTGGTGGTGATGATTGTGATGATGGTGATGGGGATGATGATGGTGGTGGTGATGATGATTGTAATGATGGTGATTGTGTTGGCAATGATTGTGATGATGGTGATGGGGAGGATGATGATGGTGATGATGGTGGTGGTGGTGGTAATGGTGATGATTATGATGATGGTAGTGGTGATGATGATTGTAATGATGATGATGGTGGTGGTAATGCTGAAAAATATGGTTGGTACCGGGAAGAAAGGAGGGAATCAAGAGATTCAACCAGAAACCCTGCCCGACTGCGACTCAGTCAACACATTCTCCAGGAATATACAAAAGACTATATGTAAATATTGTGTACTTTTCTTGTTTCAATACATTTTGTTCCAAGTACCTTTTGTGTTGCATTATTATTCCATGCATTAGTCAAGTTTCAACAGTTATTAAGTAATAAAATGACCCCCCCTTACAATTTATACATATTTATACGACATTTGAAAAAAATTAAATCTCTTCATAGTATTAAAAAAATTAGAAAAATAAGTCGACATCTGTTACAGCAACGCTATTTTTGTTTCATTGTTTTTACGGCTTATCAACCTTATTAAAAGGCGAAATATAATTTAGGGGATAAGAATACTTTCTTTTATGCCAGAATACTGCATTAATTCTTTTTACATCTTTGAGAATAACATTAATTTTCCAGATACAGGTTCTACTATTTAACCCATAGATAGGAAGATGGATTCATGATTTTACCTAATGTTATTTGCGTGCAAGAAAATGTAAGGGAACGGCTGGATATCTACTACACCACCCGCACATCCACCACATCAGCAGTAAACTAGTATTAATAAATATTTCTCCTAGACATAAATTGGGGGATCAAATTTCTCTTGTTATTAAGTAATAAAATGATCTCCCATAGAAAATTACTACGTGTTAATATAATAATTGTAGAAAACTGAGCACTAATATATGAACAGCTTTTGATAATAGCAAATGGATGGCAAAATATGGAAACATTTTTTACAACAAAGGAAATTTTTCTAAACATTAAATCAGGGATCAGATTTCTGTTGACATTAAGTAATAAACTGATCCCCCACTCATAGAATTACTACGTATGACTATAACCATTGTAGAAAACTGAAGAATCATATATGTAAACTTTTTGATAACAGTAAAGTCTAAGCAAAATTTGCTGCCATATCTGACAGTATCATTAAGCTCGTATCAATATGACAGAGGAGGGCTAGATAAAGTATAGATCCCTTTTATATTTTTTTCTCGTTGTACAAGTTATTTGAGAGAGCTAAATTATACATACAGCACTTCTTAACCTTATCGGTTCATATTTGCTTAAGTGAGACTGGTGAACTAACCAACTGAAGTTTAGAATCGAAATATCTAAATAAAAAGAAAAAAGCATTGGAGACAAGAGTCTGAATAAATCTTCTACAGATGATAATAGCTTAGCTAAAATGCTTAGAACACCTGAAAAAATATGACCTACAATTTGTTATCGCTAATGATTTCAGGCTGTAACATTTAGTGTTGGCAGTTTCTAAACGAGGCAGTCGTGCAACTTATAGGAATGAAAAAAAAATGGCGTTAAAGAAAACATTTGTTTTCTCGACCTTCTTTCTGTGCATTGGTTCATTATCCAACAGTATCTCTAGGTGGGTATAAAGCGTACGAAAAACAAATTTATGGGCATCTAGTCGTTTGTGAAGACGGAGAGTCCAGAAGTAAATCAAAAGAGTGAAGGGGTGAGGCAAGATATATATATATATATATATATATATATATATATATATATATATATATATATATATATACAGATAGATAGATAGACATACATACAGATAGATAGATATACAAGACGAAAGAAATTAAAATAAATGATTGAATGAAAAGAAAAACAAGAATGAAAATACCTGGAAACAAAATGATGGCAGATATATAAAAAGAAAAATAAGCAGATAGATAGATAGATAGATATATATATATATATATATATATATATATATATATATATATATATATATATATATATATATAGAGAGAGAGAGAGAGAGAGAGAGAGATAGATAGATAGATAGATAGATAGATAGATAGATAGATAGGAACAAGTCAAGAGACATATGAAAGATATTATTATAAAGAATAAATTGATACGCACAACCAGACACACAGACTCGCACACAAACATACACAAAAACACACGCACACTCTCAAACACACAGACACACACTATCTATCTATCTATCTATCTATATATATATATATATATATATATATATATATATCAAGTATGTGGTGCAGTTCAATTTACATTACATGAGTCATTCATGCAAAAAACAGATATTTATATCATTAACTTCTATATCTGTTTTTTGTGGGAATGATTCTTGTAATATATATATACATATGTATATATATACATACATATATATGTGTGTGTGTATAATGACTAGCTGAGAAAAATATTTGTAAAATTGCAGATAGATAGATAGAGAGAGAAAGAGAGAGAGAGAGTTGGAGAGTATCAGGCCGAGCCACATTTGAAAACGTTTGGATAGATATTATTAGACAGAATTATATATATATATATATATATATATATATATATATATATATATATATATATAATGACTAGCCAAGAAAAATATTTGCATACTTGGATAGATAGAGTAATATGTTGAAAACTTATCCGCTCAACTCTTTTCTGGAACTGATTAAAATAAATACTATTATTAAACCAATAGTATTATTAAAAATATTATTTTTATTAAACAAACACTATTATTAAAAAAACAAAAACAAACAAATTTTCTTCGGAATCCTTTCTTCGTGATGCTGATAAATTTTCAGCACTCATTCTTGAAAGAAAGAAAGAAAGAAAGAAAAGAAAAGAAAAGAAAAGAAAAGAAAAGAAGAAGAACAACAGGTAGGAAAGCAGGAAAACAGTATGGAAGGGTTGAAGGAAAATTAAGAAAAATGGAAAATGAATCTTCGCGCATCAATGTTTGCTTGCGGCAATTTTCAATAATTCGATGATAATCTCACGTAGAATTCTGCAATTTTGAACCAATATGTCTTTTTGGTTATCGTCTGCTTTCACTCTGCCATTTTTTTTTCTTTTCTTCTTCTTTCGTCCGGTTGAAAACAACATAAACTAAAATTAAAAGATAACGAAACGAAACGAAAACAAGAAAAAAATGTGAAAAACAAAAGCAACAAAATCTAAGAAAAAAAATTGTTCTTTTCCTTTTGTAGCAAGATTTAATTTTTCAATTTATTTCATTTATTTCTTTCGTGTTTTATTTGGCGGGAAACAAAATGACAAGCGTTAAAAATGAAGAAAACACATCCAGAAAAAGAGAAGAGAAAGTTAAAAGCGCCATTGAAATGTGAATTTTCCCCATCATTTTTGCAGATAACAATATAAAGTATTTTTTCTTTATTTTGCACTCTGTTAAATCAATCAAAACGCTCAAATCTACGAGGAGTGCTAAGTTTTATCATACGAATGGCTGAAAATGATTTCCAATGCAAAATGACTATCGACTTTTGGCATCTTAATAGAACATTCGTTCGATGAGACTTTCAATTTTAGCAACCAAAACGTTTACATTATTTATCATTCGTCCTGCAAGTGGTAACCCCCACCCTAACCAAAAAATAAAAGGTCGATTCAAAAAAAAAATAAAAAAATAAAAAAAAAAAATTGCCGGGGAGTGTGCTCGACCTTCATGAAATCTACCTTTTCTGTTACCATCAAGCTGACTTAAAAAATGTATACAGCAGCTGTTACTTAACGACGTACTCTAAAAGACGCCATTTCATGATGCAGAAAAGATTCATAATGTTGGGCAAAAAAAAAAGAGAGAAAGATGCATACACATGAGAAAAGATGAAATATTCTGACATTAGAGCATTCTGTTTACGAGAAGTCGCCTGTAGCTATTTTTGAAGTCTTCTTTGAACAATCAGATGTCAGTTTACCTGGAAAGAAATAATAGTTATTAATAAGAAGAGTTGAAATTAATGAATGCAAGATTTCACAGCTCTAGTATCGTTCCTTTATAGTCGGTCTATAAACATTTTAACCCAACAGCGTTTGTGCGAATAGTGACAATAAGAGAGAGACGCGTCCAAACTCCTGGGTAAAGAGTTGTGTACATTTTTACACAATATACATATTTTATAGTCTTGTTTTCATCCCAAGCAAGGCGACAATGCCAACTAGGTAGAGGGATTACGGTAGGGATGGAAGTTAATGAGAATAACAGTATCGGTTTGGGAAAGACCTTTGGCCTTACTTCATCTGCATTAGTGTGTGAGCGGAAATCGCAACTGGTGATAGCATAATCAGGAAAGGCATCCGGTGGCTAAAATAATAAAGCAGGACGCGCAGGTGTCTTGAGCCTTGAATAAACAGAGCGCACAGGTGTCTTGAGCGGAAGGAAATGCGTGCTTGTGTGGGCGCATGCCGGAAGAGGCGTGTGTACATACCAGAAGTGGCTTGACGCGTGAATTGCGTGTGTTTCCAAATTTAATAAAACCATTCTTGATGTGTGCAGAGAGGCTGGCTAGAGGAGTCAACGATTAATCGTTACTCTGCTTGTAAACTCTCTGCCTTCGAGCGGAGAGGAACTCAGATGAGGCTCACTTGTCTGGGGAGGTAGACAGCCACCTGACCCACTGTATGCAGAGTCTACGGGGAATTTCTGCCCCAGCGTACGCGCTCAGAAAGCCTCACGTTAAAAACCGGTCTGGTGCCACATCCCGCCTTGTGGGGAGGTCTCGAGTAAATACCGAGGCTTTCTAGAGGTTCACCGAAGATGTATCTCCGTCAATTCTTGTATGCGCAATCCTAAACTCTGATATTCTCCCTCATTCTACCTATTCGCCTCAACTCGAACAGTAAAGATATTTATATATTTTTATATATGTGTTCGTCGCCTTATTTGAGCCCGGCAGCAATTTCCTCCAAGAAGACCGTAAATGGTAAAAGAAAAGAGGAACAGGCTTCACGAAGACAGAAGATGACGATTGGCGTTGCCTATAAATTTTTGAGAATTGTAGTTATCAGGGAAGCAAGAAATCGGAAGGGATCTCTATAAGCAGGAGAGAAATGAAAATGTTAGAGTAGAATTGGCGGTCGCATCCAGCTAGTTCAACAGTAAAATGGGCAAACTTAGTTACTAATCTAGTTGAAACTCATGTAGTTGAAGTACCAGCGAAAGACATCGAAACAGTTGCCATGCAAGTATTTGTAGAAAAGACAGAGGGAAGTCATGGTCACGATTGATTACATTATAAACCCGTTTTTGAATTTTGTCAAGAATCTCGATACATAAAAGTGGAGCACCAGAGTAGATATTGCAACAGTATTGAACAAAAGCGTTTAAGAATTTACCTCACAAATAAAGGTTGGAACAGCTATGTAAACGTGACGAATTTGGGAAGGATATTAAAAAATGCAGAAATTATACTGTGGCCCACCTGCATTAGGATAGAAACTGAACCCTGGCTTGGTTTATTTTGGTTTGGTTTGCTTTGTTTTGTTTAGTTTGGTTTACGGCATATTAACCTCAATGGATTATTTAACGCCGACAAGATTTTTATTGCTGGTAATATTTTTTTTTTTCAAAAATGTATTACTGGTAAATCTTTTTTTTAAAAAAAAAAACATGTATTGCTGGTAATATTTTTTTTTCAAAAAATGTATTACTGGTAATTTTTTTTTTGTTTTTAAATGTATTACTGGTAATATTTTTTCCAAAATACATTGCTGTTAATATTTTTTCCAAATTGCTGTTAATAATTTTTCGGGTCATCAGATAACTTTATCTAGTTTAGTTTGGTTTGTTTTAAGGCATATCCACCTTAATGTGTTATTTAATGCCGACAAGGTTTTTATTGCTCGTAAAATTTTTTCCCAAAATATATTGCTGGTAATTTTTTTTTCTTCAAAATTGTATTTCTGGCAATAATGTTTTGGTGGTAATAATGTATTCATGGTAAAATTTTTCCTCAAAAATGTATTCCTGGTAATATTTATTTTCTTCAAAAATGTATTGCTGGTAATAATCCCCCCAAAATTTATAATAAAACTTATTTTTACACTTTCATAGTGTTTGAACTCAATTTGGGGGTTAACTATTTGCCCATAGTTGGGAATCTAATAAGTGCTACCATATCAGGTCAGGATGGACTTGGGAACACCAGTAATTAAGAGGTGCTTCCACACGCCTCAAAATCTCATGATCAGAGGCCTTGCTGTTGAACGTAGTTTATTGCCATACCCAGGACGCGGATGTAGTTTATCGTCTTCCCCAGGACGGATGAATTTTGTACATGCACAAAAATATTAAGGATCGTAAGACAATGATGTGTCTTCTCGCCGGACGTATTCAAACTTTACAGTGAAGCAATCCTGAGAGAATTAGAAGTGCTACCATGATTCGTTATTGACGGCTACAATGTAAACAACGTTAGATAGGCAGATGACACAGTGTTGGTAGGAGACATAGAAAGGAACCTATAGAAGGCAGTGAAGGGAATCGAAAAGAAAGAACTAAAAATCAGACAGTATGCATTGTTGTCAGCAAAAGAAATAATCAAAGGGCGAGATGCAAATTGAAGACATCAAAATCAAGCCGGAACAAAAGTTTAAACATTTAGGAAATGTTTTAAGAGATGACGGAATATGTGACACCAAAATCCAAAGAGTGATTTGGATAGCAAAAGATGCCTTCCAAAAGCTAAGCAAAGTATTAAGAAACAGGAAAATGTCGTTAGAAAGAAAATAGAACTGAAATGTTATGTAATAACCGGTCCTCCTATGTAGCAGTGAATGCTGGACAAGCTCATCATAGATGAAGAATAGAGTTGAAGTAACAGAAACGTGCTTCCACTGAACAGATGCTTAGAATAACTTGGACTTAATAAATAAGAAACGACAACGTTTTAAAAAGGATTCAGATAATTAATATCGGAAAGTAACAGTTACAATTTCTTGGGTGCTTGATGAAAAAAGTGGGCTAAGAATATAAGACACTCGCAGGAAATGATTACGGTAAGATGAACAAAAGAAGAAGCAATGAATAACCTACTTAACGAGTTAGTGTAAATGATTGACAGGAGAGATAGCGAAAACTATGAGCTACAAAGGACTGGAAGTAATGGAGAGGCATGATCGCCTGTGCTCGGAAGGGACACGGCAAGGAAAAAATAGAAATGCGTGAAGATCGCATATATATATATATATATATATATATATATATATATATATACCGTAATTCTCTATGTATAATACGCTCGTATCCGTGTATTTCCGTATGTTATAGCCACTAGTTAATCCCTAATCCAGATGCCTTCTCACAGCCCAACCTTTAGCTCGTATACTGCATTGTGCTGCTATTTCTTTTGCGATGATCTGTATTGTTCTGGTAAAGGTTTATTGCCGCGAAATGTAAGATTAGCACACTCTCAATGCATTTTCTTCGCAGTGAATCCTTTTTTTTCCTCATCAAACGGGCATTTATTGAGTCGAACTTGTAGTCAGTCATATCAGTAACCTAGCAGAGTGTTTAAATTGTTGTTCTGCAGCATATCTTCTCTACAATGATCATATAGTATTTTTCTTTGAGTTTCCTGTATGTCTTGCGCATGTGCACCATAGAATAGTAAATAAGAGATTGTTACGTTTTCTTAGGTTTTGTGTAAAACAGGTTCAAGATGAAAAAAAAAAGAAGTCATGCAAAGCTTTTGGACCAGTGAAAGAACTAACTGAGATGTTAAAGTCAGATAATATGCAAATTTTGCTCCATTGTTGATTTATTCACATGAGTGTAAGTTTCATTGCAGCTGAACATTAGCTTGATTTTTGACAGAAAAATCATGCCTAAACTTTCTGCTGAAATATGAATGTTGTAACATTGAAAGGCAAGATAACTCGTCCAGAGATCGAGAGGGTACTATTACACATACTACGAAATAACACAAATAGATACAAATACATATATGAACAGACTGACATAGATAGATAGATAGATAGATAGATAGATAGATAGATAGATAGATAGATAGATAAGGAATAGTCTGAGATAGATAGATAAAAATAAAGAAAAAATAAAGAAAAAAAAGAAAGAGGCTCAAATAGGTATAAACAAATTCAGATATAACGAATAGACAGATATATATATATATATATATAGAGAGAGAGAGAGATAGAGAGAGAGAGAGAGAGATAAATAGATAGATAGATAAGGAACAAACTGAGATAGATAGACAGACACACAGATAAGGAAGAGAGATAGATAGATAGATAGATAGATAGATAGATAGATAGATAGATAGATAGATATGGATATACTCAGATAGATAGATAGATAGATAGATAGATAGATAGATAGATAGATAGATAGATAGATAGATATGGATATACTCAGATAGATAGATAGATAGATAGATAGATAGATAGATATGGATATACTCAGATAGATAGATAGATAGATAGATAGATAGATAGATAGATGATAGATAGATATGGATATACTCAGATAGATAGATAGATAGATAGATAGATAGATAGATAGATAGATAGATAGATATATATACAGACACAGTTAGATATGAACAGACTGAGATATATATGGATAGATAGATAGATAGATAGATAGATAGATACGAACAGACACAGTTAGATATGAACAGACTGAGATAGATAGATATATAGATAGATAGATGTTCATAGAATGATAGATAAATACGAACAGACACAGTTAGATATGAACAGACTGAGATAGATAGATAGATAGATAGATAGATAGATAGATAGATAGATAGATACGAACAGACACAGTTAGATATGAACAGACTGAGATAGATAGATAGATAGATAGATAGATAGATAGATAGATAGATACGAACAGACACAGTTAGATATGAACAGACTGAGATAGATAGATAAATAGATAGATAGATAGATAGATATAGATAGATAGATACGAACAGACACAGTTAGATATGAACAGACTGAGATAGATAGATAGATAGATAGATAGATAGATAGATAGATAGATACGAACAGACACAGTTAGATATGAACAGACTGAGATAGATAGATAGATAGATAGATAGAAGAAAGAAACAGAATCAGACAGAAACTCAGATACGAAGCAATAATACATAGATACATAAGGAATAGACTGATATATATATATATATATATATATATATATATATATATATATATATATATATAGAGAGAGAGAGAGAGATGCATACATACATACATAAACTGAAGTAGGTGAGATATAGAATAAGATAGCTTGTTCGATAGATAGATAGATAGATAGATAGATAGATAGATAGATAGATAGATAATCGTCATTTCAAAGATGAATGCATTAAGAAATGCGCTTGTACATTGATTTCTTTCGGATGTATTTGAAACTTATTGATTTTTAGTTGATAATTCTGGAGAATCGTCTACTTTGTTTGATCTATTACTTACAGTTACTTAATTTAATTGAAATGCAGAATAACCTCTCTAGCCAAAGGGAACACTTCTAAAAGCCAAGATTCTTAGCCCGCCTAATGGATTTTCTATTTATTGCCTGTCCGTCAGTTATTTTTAAAACTGATTTCCATTCCCATATTTTATATATTTACATTATTCGAAATTTCACCTCAACAGAAGGTTTCCCGGCAAGACGAATGAAGGGAAACTGATTTGAAATATTCATTGACAGGTAATCACGCAAGCGGTGAGGTGACGTAAAACAAAAAAAGAATTTTCAGAAATATGTACAAATTTGTCGTGTCTATTCTAGTATCTACCCGTCGATTGGAATAGCAGTATTAACTTTTAGGAGGATGGAAGAATTCCTGTTGGTCTGTTTTAGAGAATCTATTTGTTTTATATGCTGTTTATTTTCTTTTTAGTTTACCCTTTCTACGTAAGATCGATTTTCAATAATAACTGCAGAACGGTTCAGCTAAAATATATATTTTCTTGTTTCATCCAATAAAAGCCTTCCAAGTAGAGGGCTACTTAGTGAGGTCGTTGCATGAGGGTAACGGGCAAATGTAAGTGCAAATTATAAGCACATGTTGGATAGAGACCTATTTACCTTAAAATGGTAAAGGTTATGATTGTAGTGATCGGGGAAGCATCCTATCGGGAGTCTCTTCCACAAAGTATTTGTACCTTGAATAAGTTCTTGCCATTTTCCAATAGATAGTGTTTCCAGAACTGTGTGCATGTAGTTTCAGGTAATGCATTGATAAGCACGCTTGAAATTCAGTGTATGTCATTTCGTCGAATGTAAACAACTTTGTTTTTCGTCGCGTTAAACATGTCAGATCTCTTGCCAAAGAAAGTGTATTTGTTGGGAATTTTACTGCCCTACTTTATTCAAAAGAAATCTGCAGCTGAAGCACACAAAATTCTTGTTGAGATTTACGGCGACCATGCTCTGTCGGAAACAACATGCGGAAATTGTACGCTTGAAATATAATGATTTTGTAGCTGAAGATAAAGAACACCCTGGCGCACGCCAAAATTTTGAATACGAACAATTGGAGTCATTATTTCATGAAGACTTACGTCAGGCGCAAATCGAACTTGCAGAATCATTAAGAGTTGATCATACAAGAGTTTCGAAACGTTTGGAAACATTAGGAATGATTCAAAACAAGGACGAAAGACATCGAACGGCGTTTTGTCACGTGGGAACAGCGTTTTCAACGGCAGAAAAGGAAGTTTTTTTGCATCGTATCGTGACTGGCGATGAGAAGTGGATACACTACGATAACTCTAACCGTAGATGATTGTGGGGTAAGCCCGGCTATACGTCAACATCGGCGGCAAACCCGAATATCCGGACTTCGAGGCTTCTGCTCTGCATTTGGTGGGATCAGCTGGGTGGAGTTTATTATGAGGTGCTCAAACCGACAGAAACCATCACGGATGATCGTTATCGACTACAAGTGATGCCTTTGAGCCGAGCATTGAAGAAAAAATGGCCGCACAAGACGAAATAATTTTGGCAACATGACAACGCTAGCAAACGGGTGAAAACCTACTTGGAAACGCTTAAATGGGAGGTCCTACTCCACCCGCGGTATTCACCAGATATTGAGTTGTCCGATGATCACTTGTTCCGATCTAAGGCGCATGGTCTGCATGCGCAGAACTTTCATTCTTATGAAGATGCGAAAAAATAGGTCGATTCGTGGTTAGACTCAAAATACGTGTCGTTTTTCCGACGTGGAATTCAAATGCTGCCAGAAAGACGGGGAAAATTTGTGGCTAGCGATGGGCAATACTTTCAGTGTTATATTTCTTGCTAATTTTTGTAAATAAGACATTACGTTTCATGTAAAATCAGCGAGAGCGTATTCAAGGTCCTAATAGTAACCCTCGGGAAGATAATGGCTGGAACTTCCTTCTTACGAATGCATTAAGAAGGGAAGGAAGATGCATCGATTCTGTGGACGCGACACGGCGGCCCCGAGATTCAAAGCCCTGAACTGGTGGAGCAATTCGTCCGAACATTTGCCATCGAAATAGATGCGACGTTACGTTTGTAAGAAAGAAGAAGTGGATTTACGCATCAACTACAAGGGCGCGTAAATAGAGTTTTGAATACAGTCAAGTCTGAAAAAGTGAGGTTTGGGTGCCTGCCTCCCAGATCTAATGGCAATACTGCACTTTAGATGCGATCTGACTCTTGTACACATGAAGCTTACCAGGAGTCAGGTACTTGCCAGAACGGTGCAAGGAACCAACCATTTGCTCTAATATGTAGTGATGCATTGTATACGAGGTCATATGAAAAGGTATCAGAACTGGTTCTATAAAAATAAAACTACAACACATATCAATTCAGCATTTAATCTCCTTCGAAGTAATCTCCCTTTCTGAAGCCAAACCCTATCTAACGTCATTAAAAGAAAAAAAAAAACTTCTAATTCCAACGAACTATTTATTTTTATGGAAATATTTCGTCTAGCAGTTTCCAGTCTTGGTCACACCTTAGTCTGAGTAAAAACAGTCCCAAGATGCTCGAAACGCATAAGAATTCAAATCACGGAAAACAAACCGAGTTGGTGATGTTTACAACGTAATAGCAAGTTAAGGCGTAAAAAAAAGATTGTTACTTTTTACTCTATAAATTGCCCTTTTTTAACATGACAAAAAGCTTCTTTGCGCTGTTTTTACTCACATTAAGGAGTGACTAAGACTGGCAACTGCTAGTGGAAATATTTCCATAAAAATAAATCATTCGTTAGAACTATAAATATTTCCTTTTAATTATGCAACTACCAATGCAGACAAGCATCCTATCTTTCTATCTAGTGTCGTTTTCCATGATGGAAGCATTCATGGAACTCTTTTTCAGAGCCCCCTCGTCGAATTCTCTTGAATGTCCTTGACGAAATCTTGTTCCTTGAAAAGAGCAAAAAGTTGCAAGGGTCAAGATGTGGAGAATATGGAGGTTGTCGAATCTGGGAAATATTGTGCTTGACTCAAACCTACTTTCAAAGCCATAATCATTGACGGTAACTCTACACACTTTCCTTCCAATCACTGCGATAAACAACGGAATTGAGCCTGAACGTTATATGTTAGTGTATATACGTGACAGAGTTTAATGTCTGTCTGTGCTAAACGGTTTCTCTCCACGTACGTTAGTATTGTTCCATAGCAACTGTCCCGATACTTTTTGATCAGACCCCGTATATTTGAGATCTGGTTTGAACTTGACGCACAGCAGGCGTTCAAGGCAAGGAGCCATATTGAAATTATTACCGTTCAGAAGTAATTAAGAATATGTGAGGTCTGCTTGATGGTAATGGAACTTTAATTGATTGGTTTTGGAGATGCTTAGTGTTACAAGCACGTTATGAGCTCTTATAGCAAGATCAAAGGATGGATAAGCCGCCAAAGCTCTGATATTCTAGTGTCTTGGAGGTACACCCTTAAAAGTAGTATCATCTGCATAGATATTTATCAAAGATCTGAAAGAAATCCTATGCAGATCATTAATATAACGTAGAAGGAGGACAGAACCAAGCTGAAAGAGTGTTAGGGTGTTATAGTGGAACACACCTATTCTATAGTTAATAGACTCTCTCACCTATAATAATTAGGAGTAGTAAGTGTAACGAGGGAGTCGCTCAGTGGTTCGGTTAGTCAGTCAGTCGATGCCGGACGACCGTTAATCGGATACTAAAGTATCAGCGACCACAACTAGATTTCTCGGCGTCATTACCTATTATATCAAGTTCCTAACGTTTTGTACGTCGAACCTATTTTAGGACCGACTTAATACAAATACAAGACTCCACTGTAGAACCACTCCATAACATAGGGAACGCTTGCTTTGATCACATGGCCATTAGATGAGAGACAATTCAAGACAAACTTCATGTTCTTACTTATAAATTGAGTTCTTTTATACAGATTATCAAGTCTTTGTTCTTTTTTTTAAATTTCTATAACATATATTAAGGAAAGAGAGACTGGATTATTTGATATTCACAGGACAGATTGCAGGTAAGGAGGCCAGAGGAAAGCAACACATTTCCTATATGGAGAGCTTGAGTGAAAAATGGCGGTGCAGGTTTTCGTAGAGATGGCAAAAAGACAACATTTATTATGAACTACAAAGGTTAAGAAATTGTGGAAAGCCATGTTCGTGGGTTATCTAAAACGGAAATATATTTAAGATTGTAGGAAGATGTTAATAGTACCCAGTATTTCCCGCCCCCACCCAACATCCAAAAATGGCCTTCATAGCCTTACCCGATAGGAAAGACTTGATAATTGCGAAGATTCTATCAGAGATTGCATAACTGAAGAGTTTGGGAAGCAAACTCCTATTCTGCACTAAAGGCGGTCGCTCCGTGATGTTTTTATTATCGACTGCTGCTCTATGGGCGCAATGGGAGTTAGAACATCAACAGTGGACCTAGAGGAACAAAATTCATACTGTTTGTTGCTCAGGAATTTGTTTCTGTTGGGCGGAATCAACGACCTTTCTGTAGATTATAGGCTCAAATATTTTAACGTGTGGCTTTGTGTCAGATTAAAAAAAATCCTAGTCGATAATTTGAATTAACAAGGATTACAAGGCTATGAAGGAGTGACGATAGAACTGTGAAATCTTGTGTGAATTAATTTGAAGTATTCTTATAAATAACCGCATTGTGTATCTCCATGTCAACTGAAATCCGACTGTTCAAAAGGCAATGCATAGCAAATATGTCATCATTCCTATTCCTATGATACTTAAAACAGAAAATAGTGTAGGAGATTAACCAGTTCAAAGCCAGTACAAAAAAAAATCAGCTATTGAAATCAAGGTCTTGCGTGCTGGAGCATTGTTCTTATAAAACAAGCAAGGTTTTTTTTTCTAGGCGTTGATAGTCTTTCCTAACTACCTCAGCAAGATGTCATAGAACTTTCCGTTGATGGCTTGACCCTGTTGAAGAGACAATGCATTTTGCATCGCAAAAGACTGAAGTCATCAACTTTGCTTCAGATGAAACAACTTTGGCCATCTTTGGAGCAGGTGAGGAGAGATGCTTCCACAGCATTGATTGTCACTTTGTCGCTGGCTCAAAGTGTTGAACCCAACACTTATCCAGGCTGCAATGAACACAATGCATTTTACATCCCAAAAGACTGAGGCGATCGCCTTCCCTGCAGATGAAACAACCTTGAACTTCTTTGGAGCAGGTGAGGAGGGATTTTTCTATAAGATCGATTGTCTCTTTGAACCCGACACTTATCATGGGTTACGGCACGTACAAGGAAAAAAAATTACAATCTAAAAATATTTTATGGCTTTAAATAACCTGTAAGGATTAATAGGCCGTAGAATACAAATCAATCTGTAATGACATAATTACGCAAGTGTAGACTTTATGGAAGCTGTATTCAACTGAGAATACAAAGTTCGCGTATAGTGTCTTTTTATAGTCCCAGTAAACAGAAACTGTTCTCCCAATGATAACAAAAGAAGGGGACACCACTCTTGATTAATCATAACACATCATTCAATGAAATATAGATTATTTACACATGTATGTTCTTTAATTTTATTTACATTCTCTCGAATATAAATGTATATAAACTAACGTTGCCATTATAATGTAGAATTGAACCCCCATTTCATATCCATATTATAATTTCTTATCAAATTCTGATTAGGTGTAAATCCATCTCTTCCCACCGGCTATGGTTTAATTAGTAAGACCTGCATCACTAAACAATTAATATCTAAAAAAGAGTTTTAAAATCTAAAAATATGTTTTGGTTTTAAATAACCTGAAAGGGTTGATAAACCGTAGAAAACAAAACAGTCGATCACTTCTCTGTTTCAATACGCTTTCGGTTAGTATCTGTCTATATTTCTGAGATGAGATATTATGTACACTATTTACATTATTCGGTCTATTGTCCTCATCTTTGTCGCCATGTTTATCACAACGTTTCGGCCCTTCAGTATCTGTCTATATTTCTGAGATGAGGTATTATGTACACTATTTACCATATTCGGTCTATTGTCCTCATCTTTGTCACCATGTTTATCACAAAGTTTCGGCTGTTGTACGCTCCGGTCTTCTTCAGGTAGTTGAACTATCGAACTGAACACTTTATTTCGCTCACTGGAGTAGACTGTTCTAGTTCCACGTACCACGGCACAGTGGATAGAGGCGTTAGTTAGATCCAGTGACAGAACCCAAGGAGTGTGAGTTCAATACCTGGTTAAGGCGGTGGAAAACTTGGGGAGAGAAATTAACAGGAGATAAGTGACATCCATTAGACATGGCACGTGGAACTAGAATAGTCTACCCCAATGAGCGAAAAAAAGGGTTCAGGTGGACATCCCAACCTCCTGAAGAAGGCCGGAGCGTACAACGGTCGAAACGTTGTAATAAATATGGCGACAAAGATAAGGACAATAGTCCGAATAATGTATATAGCGTACGCTTTCGATTATATGTTTAAGATTTTTCGTCGTCTATTTCAACACATCCCATGTATTTACCTTTCTGTTCATGGTTGAATCTCATATCTCCATTTCGTAGTCGGCATTTTGAGTTCTGCATCTTGCTAACGACCATATATTCTCTCTAAATAGGTTATGACTAGAAAAAGACCAATCGGAGTTTGCATCCAACATATTCCCGTGGAGATGACTGCAAAATAGTTAAGATAAATTTAAAAAAAGAAACATTTGCATGTGGATATTCTAAAACTTAATGAATATTAATATATCAGCGAATAAATATTATTATCCCAACGAATACGATTTGCGTGTATGTGTGTACGTGTTTTGAGCGATGTTTATGTGCTAGATATTGCGGCATTAATTGTTTATACGTTGTAGATTGTGTGTGTGTATGTGTGTTTTAAGTATGTGTTCATTGCGTACGTATAGATTTGATTATGTGTATTTCCATCTATGGTTTTCTTCTTGTCTCTTACAGTTTGTAATTTGGATATCATTCAGAAAGAAAGAAAGAAAGAACGAAAGAAAAAACGATGAACTTGTAAAGTATTAAGAAAAAGAAAGAAAGAAAGAAAGAAAGAAAGAAAACATTTAAAAGTGAGAAAATACATTTGAAAGCATGTTAGGAAATAAGTGAATAAATGATGATGTAAAAAAGAGAGACAAAATTAAGAAAGAAAGAACGATAAAAAGAAAGAAAGATGAACTTGCAAAGGATTAAGAAAGAGAGTGAAAAAAGAAAGAAAGAAAAATAAAGAAAGCAAATGGGGATGAAAGCTGAACTTGTCTTTACAACTTCATTAAATAATTACAAAATAAAAAAGAAAACTGAAGTTGAAATAAATATAGAGATAAAGAAAGATTAACTTGTAAATGATTAAGAAACAAAGAAAGAAAAATACAGTTTGTAATCTGGAAATCATTCAGAAACAACAAAAGATAGAAAGAAAATTGAACTTGTAAAGGATTAATAGATAAAGAAATAAAGAATGAAAGAAAGTGTGAAAATATTAACTTGTAAATGATTAAGAAAGAAAGAAAGAAATATAAACAGAAAGAAAGTAAGAGAGTAAGAAAGCTGAAAGACCATTAATTAGTTGCAAAGGATTAATAAATTAAAGAATGAAAGAAAGTGAGAGAAAAAGAAAGATTAGCCTGTAATGGTTTAAGATAAAAAGAAAGATGAAATTTTAAAGGAGTAAGAAAGAAGGAAAGAAAACAAGAAAGAAAAAAGCTGGGCTTGTAAAGGATTAAGAAAGAAAGATTGAAAGAAAGTTAGAAAGAAAGATCAACTTGTAAAGAATTAAGAAAGAAACAACGCATTAAGAAAGAAAAGGGGAAAAAGACAAAAAGAAAAGAAAAATAAAAGAAACATTGAATATCTTTGAAGAAAGAATTAAAGAAATGTGAACTTTTTAACAATTAAGAAATAAAGATAAAAAGAATGCATTAAAAAGAAAAACTGAAAAGATAAAGAAGAAAAAGAAAAAGAAAATCAGAAATATTTGAATATTTTCTTTTTCATTCAAACTATATTATTTATTTGATAAAAATAATATAGTTTGAATGAAAAAGAAAATAAGATAGATAGATAGATAGATAGATAATGATCAGAATGAGCTAGCTCGTTAGCTAGCTAGCTAGATAATTACTAGAGTCCGATAGATAGATAGATAGATAGATAGATAGATAGATAGATAGATAGATAGATAATGATAGATAGATAGATATAGATAGAATGATATATATATATATATATATATATATATATATATATATATATATATATATATATATATATATTCTGGTCATTATCTCTCTCTCAATATATATATATATATATATAGAGAGAGAGAGAGAGAGAGAGAGAGACAGATAGATAGATAGATAGATAGATAGATAGATAGATAGATAGATAGATAGATAGATAGATAATCAGAATGAGATAAAAAGATAGATAGATAATGACCAGTATGAGATAGATAGATAGATAGATAGATAGATAGATAGATAGATAGATAGATAGATAGATAGATAGATAGATAGATAGATAGAGAGAGAGATAATGACCAGAATGAGATAGATAGATAGATAGATAGATAGATAGATAGATAGATAGATTATGATCAGAATGAGCTAGCTCGTTAGCTAGCTAGCTAGCTAGATAATGACTAGAGTCAGATAAATAGATAGATAGATAGATAGATAGATAGATAGATAGATCATTCTGGTCATTATCTATCTATCTATCTATCTCTATATATATATATATATATATATAGAGAGAGAGAAAGATAGATAGATAGATAGATAGATAGATAGATAGATAGATAGATAATCAGAATGAGATAAAAAGATAGATAGATAATGACCAGTATGAGATAGATAGATATTAGATTGATGCAAAAATAATGACGTAATAATGTCGTTTTTGACCATAAAAATACGTAAAAAAACGACAATATTACGTCATTATTTTTGAACCAACCTAATAGATAGATTGTTATATATATATATATATATATATATATATATATATATATATATATATATAGAGAGAGAGAGAGAGATAATGACCAGAATGAGATAGATAGATAGATAGATAGATAGATAGATAGATAGATAGATAGATAGATAGATAGATAGATAGATAGAGTGAAATTGAAGATAAGACGTAAGAAATGAATCTAAAAAAAGAACATAAAAACGAAAAGAATCCACAATATAACGAATACATTAAAGCAAAGAAATGAAAAAGGTAGTAAAAATGGACGAAGAAAATGGCCGATGAAAAAAAAAATGTGGGAAAGCAATAAATACGTGCAAGACCAAGAAAAGAAGGAGAATAAAACTGCCTGCAGAAAGAGAGATGAAAGGAAAGAAACCAAAGTAAAATAAAGTAAAACAAAACAAAAAAAAAATAAGATGTAAAGAAGAAATGTTATGGGCTGTGGACAAAACCAAAATGTCGGAACAAGAAAGAATGAACGTTGGAGAGAACAAACGCAAGCGGAAATAGAAATATTGACTGGACGAAATGAAAAGGGGGTCGAAAGATAAACCGTAGTAAAAAAGAAAAAAACTCCTCTGATCATAAGAAGTAGAAAAAAAAATGTCAAGAAACGTGACCCCGACAATTCTTTTTTCGGTTGGCAATCATTTACAAAGACATGGACTATCGTTTAACACCCACAGAAGCAATGCTTTTCTTCTTATAATGTTTCTTTTTTTCTGTTCAGATTGTTCTTTCTCCTTGAGGGTCAGAGAGATTATCCCCACTAATAATAGTCCTACCGTATTCCGAAAGCCTACAAGTAATCAATATCACCGTTCGATATTGAACACTCTGAGCAGGAGCCATTGATGACCTACCGAGTATGATTGCCATGATGAAACAGAAAAATTAAGTGTTCCGGCTACCTCTGTCCCATAATATTTGTTACATTTGCCTCTATATTTCAGATAATAAGTATAAGATATATGGAGCAGCTACAGTAATATATTAATTTATCTTTGTACCAAAATTCTCTTCTTCTAAGTGCCGTGGCTCTTCAGGACGTGGTCGATCAAGGCTCTCCACAACTTCCTGTTTTTTTTGTAACTCTAAGTAACCTCATGTGTTCGTCAGTTATATTACCGCAACGCTCCTCTGTGTCTCCTGTCTTCATTAAATCACGTGAGTGTTACATTTTCTAAGCTACCTTTTCTCATTATGAGCCCTAAGAATTTCCTCTCTCTCACTCTCTGATTTTAAGTATAAGTGTGTGTTTTTTTTTTCATTTCTTCTAAGAATTTGCTCACATATCTAGTCCATGGTATTCTCAGCATCCTTCCGTAGAACTACATTTCTGTTGCCTAAATTCTTTTCTTCATCTGCGAGATAGATATTGTATAAAAATCTAGCACTGATTTCTTTGTTTTTAACGAAATATTCCCGTTTCTTAATACTTTACTTAGCTTTGTTAAGACATCTTTCACTATTTCATTGCGTCTTCGCCATCCTATTTTCCGTCCTTTGTTAAAAGAATTCTTAGATACTGGCTTGACTTTGTTGATTATTAATTTGTATTTCTCCTCTTGGATTGTTTCGTTTTTGATAAGCAAAAGTTTCGTACGTTATTATCTCTGAGATGATGTATTATAATCATTTGCCATATTCACAACGTTTCGGCCGTTGTTCGCTCCGGCTTTCTTCAGTGGACAAGAACGTTTGGTTAGATCCAGTGACTAGACCCAAAGAGTTATGAGTTCAATACCAGGCTACTGCGGTGGTGAACTTGGAGAGTTAAGTTAAATGGAAATCACTGAGATATCCAGAAGAGGCATGGCACGTGGAAAAAGAAGAATCTACCCACTGGTGGACGAAATAAAGGGTTGGGTTCGAAGTTCCGGTCACCTAAAGAAGGCCAGAGAGTACAACGTCCGAAACGTTGTGAATATGGCAATGAAGATGAGGGTAACAGTCCGAATAATTTAAATAATGTAAATAAACATTTCGTTTTCTTACAATTGATGTATAGTCCCTTCTTTTCATTTTTCTTTTCTGTAGAATCTCTTGTCTCTTTTCTCAAAACAGTGTAATCTGCATAACTTAAATTGTTAAGAGTGTGAACTTCAACAATGACTATTTTTAATTTTATTAGGAACACCTAATTCTAAACGTTGAATAAGTCTGGCGAGAAGAAACCACCTTGTCTTACGCGGCTAATGTAAGACAAGGATGGCCTTGTGTAGTCACTGAATTCATTTTCTAATCGTGTTCAATAATTCATGTTCGAGGTTGGTAGAGAATGATTTGTTATATTTGCAAAAAAAAAAAAAATAGAAAGAAAATCGAAAAAAGAGCCAATGAGTGTAAGAGAAATATAGATAGGGAAATAAAATAAGAGAGAGAGAGAGAGAAAGAGAGAGCGAGAGACAATGAAAATAAGAGAGGGACAAGATAGAGAGACAATGGAGATAAGATAGAGAAAGACAAACAATGGCAATAAAAGAAAGAAAGACAATAAAAATATGAGAGCGAGAGACTATGAAAACCAAATAGAAAGATAGGCAATGAAAATAAGAGAGAAAGAGGGAAATAAAAAAATAAGTGAGAGAAGTAAGGTAAATAAGAGAGAGAGAGAGACAATGAATATAAGGGAGAAATAGAGAGAGACAAAGAAATAAGAGATAAATACAGAGATAATGAAAATGAGAAAAGTAGAGAAATGGCAATAAAATTAAGAGAGAAATATAGAGAGATAATGAAAATAAGCGCGTGCGAGGCAGTGAAAGTAAGAGAGAAAGAGAGAGATAATAAAATTAAGAGAGAGAGAGAGAGAGGCAATAAAAATAAGAGAGGGAGAATGAAAGTAAGACAGACAATGAAAATAAGAAAGAGAGAGAGAATGATATTAAAAAAGAAATAGAGTTAAACAATATAAATAAGAGAGAGACAATGAAAATGAGAGAGAAATAGAGAGAGATAATGCAAATAAGAGAGGGAGAATGAAGCTTATATATATATATATATATATATATATATAAAGAGATTTTTATGTGTATGCATTCTTTTTATAGATACAAATATTTAAGTAAATGCTCTGTTTATAATAAACAGTATTAAACAACATTTACAGAGCATTTGCTTAAATATTTAGATCTATAAAAAGAATGTATAAACATAAAAAATGTCTTAAAATAATTGTCGGACTTTGTCCATTTCATAATATATATATATATATATATATATATATATATATATATATATACTTATTACATAGATCAATATCAGATCCTTAACCCTTCCCTTACTCTTAAATATTACATATATATATATATATATATATATATATATATATATATATATATATATATATATTCTCCAGCAAGATATTCATTTCTGTAGTTTAGTGCTAACAGCAAGCAAAATATTTCTCCTTCCGATGATGGCCATTTTGGTCGAAACTAGTCGAGAAATCTAAATGGAATAATAATAAAAAAAAACTAAAGAATATTAATCTACAACCCAGTGTGTCTAAAAGATTTTAATTTTTTAATTTTTTATTGTCCAATATATATATATATATATATATATATATATATATATATATATAGAGAGAGAGAGAGAGAGAGAGACAGACAGACAGACAGACAGACACACAGACTTATTAAATAGGTCAGTGTCTGGTATTTACCCTCTTTTACTCTTAAGTATTTTAATAAACATAGATTTAAAATTATTCCTATCTCTCCCTTCCTTCTCTAATTTCTGTAGTCCTCCTCCTTTACGTCTCTCTATCACCTTACATCAAATTAAAACTACCCATCAAAAGCGTATAAAAATAATGCGTAATTTTTTTTATGCTTAGAAATGTGATCTGAAGAACCAGGAAAAAAACACCTGCCTGTCGAAATAAAATCAAATCAATGGATCCTTAAGGTTATCTGTTTTTTAATTTAAATTAAATATATATATATATATATATGTGTGTGTGTGTGTGTGTGTGTGTGTGTGTGTGTGCATGTATGTCAAAATGCAGACATGATAACAAATTTTTACGTTATTTAAAACTCGAAAACTGAAATGAACAAATAAAATTAAACAAAATAATATAAAAATCAACTAAAATAAATTAACCTAAGCAAATAATAAACAAATTAACAAAACGCTCCCGTTAGAATAGATGAAATAGAATAAATAAAAAAAAAATGTAATAAACAAAAACAAATAAAAACAATCAACCAAAATAAGTAAATAAAGTAAATAATAATAAATAAATTAAACCAATCCCATCAAAACTTGCACGTAAAAATAGCTAAAACTGTTATATATTGATAAAAAAACATCACTAAGTTACTGAAAAATCGAAAACCAAGATAGAATAAATACAAAATAAGAAATAACTAAATAAAAAATAATAAAAATTAATGCAAATAGATAAATAAATGAACAAATTAACAAATCGCTCCAGCTAAAATAACCGTTAGAACTAATAAAAATACGCATAAATAAGCAAAAAACAAAAAACAAAAATTTAAAATAATCAATCCAAATAAATAAATTAAAAAACTGTCCACACGCCAAAATAACAGAATAGATTACGGCAAGCAATCTAAACATTGGACGAATAAATAGCTTTATCTTCTCAGACCAAAACAAACTATTAAATAAGCGACCTTAGCAAATCCCCCTAAATTTTTACTACGTTAATAAAACATCAAAAAAACGGAAGGAATATATAATACAAAATGAAAATGAAAAACAAGTAAAACAAATTAACCGAAACAAATAAATGAATAAAAATGAATAAAGATGACACTTTCGTAAAAATAACCGCCAGAATAGATTACCCACAATGCACCACTGACCTATATATATATAAATAGCCGAGGAAAATCCAGCATTCGCGGCCTGACGATTGTATGAAACATCCTGTCGCATCTGAGTGTTGACCAATGTTCACTTATATATATATATATATATATATATATATATAATCAGAAAATTATTAGCGAATCCTAAACTTTAATAATGTCAATTTGTTAGCAAGAATGTATTACTTTTATTTAGGTAACACTCGAAGCTTAATTTTTACAGTAGGATTCACTCTTTACAAGGCCTGGGGCCACTCGATGTAGAGGGTCACGTTAAAGGGTACTTTATATCGATAGGAAGGAAGATAATGGTTAACTCTAGATTTGAACAGGTTAAGATTGTAGTGATCGGAGAAACATCCTGTTATGAGTCTCTTCCGCAGGGCAGTGGTTCGCAGGAAGAAACTGTTTGGGTGGAAGTTACTTCTCGTCGATGGAATACAGAGGGGTTATGTAAATGTATGTAAGAAATGTAGTTCGTCTGAGCACTTTCCATGGTAGTAGAGATAGAGTGGTGAGAGACTCGTCACATCCCGCCTGTGAGAGAGAGGTTGGAAGCTGAAAAATAATTCTTCTCCAACAAGAGCTCGGAGACCCTTTTGAACTCAGTCAAGACTGGGAAGAGAGGTCTGGGCAGCTTCCGCCCATATATAGCAACAGTCCTCCATTTTCGGCCTGATCTGACTTTTATAACGGTAAAGTATAACAGGAGGACCCATCTACTTACTGAAGCAGT